CAGACGATGTAATCTTGATTCCAAATTGTATCAACTGAAAAGAGGAATTCGATAAACAGTCCAGTCATTTTTTCTTTGTTTAGGCTAAGGCTTCTAACACTGTCTGATTATTTCAGGAATGGCTTAACAGAGCAAGCAACAGTCTAAAATTTGCACTTTGTGAATCTCAACTAAACTTACAAATGGGATTTTATGCTGCTCCTTTTGTATTTTTTATTAGACCTTTTCCTTCCACTCAACTTTTCCGATATGGCTAGATAGAGCATTCTGTGAAGACACAACCTCAATGAAATTGACCTTTCAGGGTTTATCTTCCTCATGAGTTTTTTATTTTTATTTTATTTTTTTATTGGTTTTCTGTTACGTTCTCAATTTTGGATAAACTGAATTTTGAGTGTTTATTAGCAGTGAACTATATATAATCTTTAAAATGAACAGAAATCAGTCTTTGGTCAATGAGTCCATGCAATATAAGTTTCCCTTTTTGATTATTTATATGCTCTTTTTAAATTATAGAGATGCATCTGTTCTGAGAAAAAAAATAAAATAAAAAATAAAAAAAACTTCTGTTTTTTTAGCATGAATAAAATGCTGGTGTAATGCAGCCTAGTTTTTGCTTTAAGATGATAAGAAAACACATGGTTTTTGTTATGACCAGAAGCAAAGTCTGTTTTGTATCAGACTTTGCTTCATTATGATTCTCCTACTTTATTACAAAATATAAACCATATTGTATACAAAATATCTTGCGCAGAGCTCTGCTGATTTTCAGAAAACCAGATCACTGTGCTTTCTCTCCTCCCCCACTCACACTCTGATCTTGGCCACCATTAACAGTGATCTTAGTGCATCTGGAAATTAGCCAGAGCTCAAAGTGACCTTCATCACCAGACAGACGGCACACATTCAGAGCACCAGAACAGCGTCCTAAAGTCTGTATGTTATACCTCTTCCAATCTACGACGTGCTTTTCAAAAGTGGATTTACCATGGATGCAATGGCAAACAGATAAGACATGGCATACAAGGAACTATGGAGATGACACATGTACTCAATGACAGGAAAAAAATACACTTTTATGAAGCTCGTCAGCATGTGCAGAGTTTTACAAATCAACTGAGGTTTCATTGTTATCGATGTTCTATACCGGCTTGAGTCATCCTGCTCCCCGTGGTGCTACCCTCCTGGAGTGGTAGGAATTTTGGGTATCAATAATTCAAAGCTGTTTAACAGTAATATGATGGTAACATTTTCTCACAGAGATTGCATAAACAGATTGCATGTTACTGAAGAGATGATTGACTTGCACAATCAAAGATACAAAATGGAAGTTCCCACGGTACAACCCTGGAAACAACCGTTGTTGGGAGTTGGGTCCTTTTGGATGGACCTCAAACTAAACATGGAGCCTCGCACTTGAAGAGTCCTCAGCATTCTTTCTCAGTTTAATCTTCCCAACATTATTTTGCTAACCTCTGCCATTGCTGTCTCCATGGAGGTAGAGATATAAACCCTCTCAATTACCCGTTTAATCTCATTGACAAACAATAAATTGAATTGAAATTAATTGAATCAAGCCTTTCAAAAAATATAATAAGCAGTAAAATCGGATTATTTCACAGCATTTATTTCCGGAGACACAAATTAAAGCAACCACAACTGCCCAGGATTGTGATTGCTAACATGGTTAGTCCTCTCAGGAAACTCGTCTAGCAGGGTTTAATTATGAATGATTTTTGAATTATTACAAACTTCCAAAGAGTTAGAGGTATGTTTAATTCTGTTTCCAAGTTAACAACTGTGAACTTGTCATGAATTATTCCTTCACATAGTTGTAGCAATCCTGATTGTAGCTCTGCTTTTTCTTTCCTCCCCTTTTAAAATCTGTTCCACCTACACATTTTTACATGGCTCAGAGTGGCAGAAAGTGAATATTTGCTCTAAAAATCAGATGCATTTCTGCATTGGTTTGATTTAACTTTTTTTTTTTTTAATTCATTCTGGAATCTACTGAATACGGTAAAAGAGGGAGAAGATATGCGTTTCCAGATTGCAGCAGCATTTCTGCAGTAGGATGAGCCGCTCACCGGCAGGGGATGTAATCTACAAAAACGACCCAGTAAAGTGAAAATGTAAAATGAAACATCCTGAGTAAATGAAACATCCTGAGTACATGGAAATGCTCCAGGAAGTTGCATTATACGAAAAATAAACATTCAGAAACTTACAGTCAAAATATGCCTGTAGTGGCCTGAGATCTTTGCCAATGAGGACAGAGCAGAAACACTGCAAGAAGCCTGTGTCTGCTGATAACCAATACACTTGAATTTTCACACTGTGGAACAATAACATATTTCTATTCTATTATAGACCACGTTTACAGCAGGTCGTGACAGCAATGTGCGCTCTAAGTATTAAAGATGCTTGGAATCCGGAGTTGAAGAATAATAAAAGTTATCTTCTCTTTCTCTTTTCTGAAGAATGGCTAAGTGGAATAGGTCTTTGTGTTGTTACTTATTACCCCCTGAAAACAAGAACAAATGGAATACTAAACTAAACTTTTTTTTTCATATTATGATCAAAATAAAAATGTCAAGAATAATTGTGGGGAAAAAAAATAAAAACTTCAGTTACATTTATTTCTTAGTTGTAAAGTCATTGAAATAAATGTCTTGCAACTAAAGCTTGGGATTTTATTTTTTTATCTTTGCACTTTGTGAGGACATTATGCTCGCAGTGTACAATATCAACTTGGCGCTTAAGACTTTCCACAAAATATTTCAGCATAATCACTATTATAGAGACACATTCTGGACAAAACATTGTTACTTTGTTAAATTAGTTCAGGCCTGTAAAACGAATGGCTTTCCTACTTTCTTTACTTGTACATTCCCTTATTAGCAAAAATACTCTAAGCTTCTTCAGTTTATTTTATTTCTTCCAAGAGTTTTCTGCTCTTGTCGACTAATTCCTTTTTAGAAAGTTCCAGTGTATTATGTTTACAACGATACAATTTATAAAGAAATTAACAATATTTTATTTTTATTTACACTGTAAATTATTACAAAAATGTGTGCAAACCTTTATTTTTCACTCTTTTCATTAGATACCAGCAACATTCTCTTCTTTACCGCTTGCAGTTGCATTCTGCTAGGTAATCTATGTGAGTAGACGTAAAGCAGGAGTATGGTTTGTACTGTGAATTCAGTGAGTAGTGCTCACTGTAGCATCGCCTTGCGTTCAGGCTGCAGTTATTGACTCCTGTTTTCTCCATTAGGCTTCCCTTCACTCTCAGGATCTCTGTGGACTGCAGAGCTAAATGACAAATTACGTCAACACAAACGCTTACACACAGCTCAGGTACTAGCAGCCACTTATCTTCCTGTAAAACCCACCACTGCGCCCTTTGTTTGTCTTATTTCAGCCCTTTTACTGTTAGACTGCGGTAACTTGAATGTGCTTCTTGTGTCGCCTGAGACTGGAAAACTAGGACAACAGTGGAAAAAATATGCAAATAAGAAAAAAAAAAAGAATCATCTGTTTTTTTAACTTTTATCATTCTCACATGTGATAAAGACAACAGGTTGAGAACCTCAGCTTTATTAATTGCGTGCTACATGGCATTTCTCTAAATCATTCCTCTATCTTGTCTTTGGTTACTCAGACTCATCAGTGTTTTCTGCATTCAGCTTCTCTCCCTGGTCATTGATCAGTTTTGATCAGCAATGACAGGGTTTCTGTGTACATGTAAGGTATAAAGCGGTGGTGCCCAAAGTGGGTCCTCGAGGGCCGGCATCCTGCATGTTTTAGTTATCTCCCTGGTTTAACACACCTCGATCAAATGATGGCTCATCAGAAGGCTTAAGAAGAACATTGACATGCTGAAAAGGTTGTCACTACCACCAGGGAGAGAACTAAAACATGCAGGATGCCGGACCTCGAGGACTGACTTTGGGCACTCTTGGTATAAAGTTTGAGCTACTGCAAGCTAAAGTTATTTTACATGATCAGCGTTTCTATGAATTTGATTTTATCCAAGTCTGATTAAGTAAGTAAAAAAATAAGGGGGAAAAAAAAAAGTCTGAATTTTTTTGTCTTAATTTGATATTTTATTATTTGAAATAAAAAAATAAATTTAAAAAAAGTGTTTTTACATTAATTCTATTTTGAGAGAGTTTCTTTTCCACATTTTGTTTACAGTTCTGTGTTTTGGGACTTTGTCTTGCTGTGATTTAGAGGATTGTATTCAGTCCATATATATTTTAAGTTTGTTCAGATGGTAAATGGAAACAGCTGTTTACCACCTGACAGAATAGGAAACCAGCTACAGCAACGTGTTTTATGATGTAAAATAAAACAAAGAAAGAAAAAAAAAACATTAACATCTGAATAGGTTAATATATTGTACTAAAATGTCCATTATCTGATGAAGAACTGATAATAAATTTGTAGAATATCGAGTCTGGAAAAACGTGCGATTTTAAAATGAAAATTTAGTAGAAACTGCATTTTTCATCAAGTATTTGCCACTTTTATGTCTTAGCTGCTTTTTTCACTTCTTTAACGCTGACTACCTGGAGCCCTCTATGCTCGACTGATCAAAGTCTAGCTTACATCAGCCCTCCTTGAATCCCTAAAACTCAGTGTCTCCTCTTTTCAGTTTTACAGGTTGTTTATTCCACCTGACCCACTAACTGCATGAGTCATTACGCAGCGCACATGGAAATCAATATTATTTTTTTTTTTTACAGAGGTTGTCATCTGCCAGCCAAGAGCCAAACCCAAAGACTCACCACCTACAAACAAATTCACAAGCACACATCAGTACATGGATAAGTGTTGACAGTGAAGCGGTGGTGGTGCTGGGGCCGGGATTATGACTGACAAAAAGAGATTTGTGAATGTGACTGATGCAGTGTGTCCTGTTCATTCTCCTTTATGTAACATCACTAATATTGCAGTTCTTACCTCACTCCCGAATCTCCTCGTCTCTCTCCCAGAAATTGAGATTCCCAACCCTTTGCCCGGTCTTGCCAGCTGCTATATAGCAACAGCATGGCAGACAGTCGACAGCCGGAAGACAGCGCCGCTCAGTGGGACCCATCAGGAGGGCAAGAACCTGGCGGCACCCATGGAGCAAACAGCTACTCTTCGTCAGCCTATCGGACCTGCCAGCCTGGAGGGGCCCACATGACCACCGCTCCTTACACTGCGAGGGAGAATGGATTTAATGGCGAACTAGCTGGAGCTCCCGCTATCACTGCAGGTAAAATGCCCTCAGATTTCCTATTTTTACATTTATCTCTCGAACTTCACTTTGGAAATATTTCTAAACTGCTAAAGAGTATGAGGTCAAATATAACCCTTGAGCATTAGGCCAGCAGTGTTCATCAATCCCGTGCTTGAAAAAGTACCTGGTAACAGCACAAAACAATCGGGTCAGAAACACTGTTTTGATTCACGACAGTTCGCTTCAAGCTTCAAGAATTATTACCGGGTAGATTAACATTTGTTAAGATGCCAGTTTGGTTTTAGTTTTTATGCCATTTATTTTGACACATTCATTTTGTGCAATAATACGTTAAGAATCCTTTTATGATGTCATGTTTTGGCCATGTGGCTGCTCTGCACAATATAAATATGTGGATTTATATTGGCTATCAAGGTATGTCTTTTGACTTTGTATGCATTTCATTCTTGCTGAAGTTTTATATGTGTTTTTAAATAAGGGAGCACTATCATTAATTTTTGATTTTGACTTAAACTAATTTTCCCTTTGGGATTGATGAAGTAGTTTTAAGTTGAATTGAACGTGCGCTCACTCTTTACAAAGCTGTGTGCTGTGCTCCATACAGTATGCAACCTTTTCAATGTGTTTGAACTGATGCTTTGGATTGTATCTGCAGTGAGTGGGTTTGCTGCACTCACTAGGATACATACTGTTATTAGCAACGCCGTAATTAACACATGAAGTATTTCTCTGTTCTGGCCCCAACCCTGTCTTCACTCACGCCCAGAAGACCAGACTGGCAACCAGCGGTGCCAGCGGTGCCAGTAGTGTAACTATGGCAACAGTTCCCCTACCATTTTCTCAAAACTTTTGTTCTTTTTAACTCCAGCTTGCCACAGACAAAGGAATTTAGTATGTGCTGACAAAGAGCTAATTTTACATCTCTTGTCTCCATTATTGGGGTTTTTGCAGATACCAGCTCTTAATAATGATTATAGTGTTTCAGAGAGTAACCGTTACTAATGTGTCTTTATTCAAAATGCAATTGCTTCATAAAGGCCAGAATTGCCTACTGCACAGCTAAAAGAAACTCCAACCTGCAGAGTTCACTTGGGATTCTTGGTTGATTCTCTGAATAATACTTTCAAGCTCTACCTGTTAATTTATGTAGATGCCAGTATCTTTTCAGATTTGGATTATTTTGTAAAATATACTCGAGTTTATGGCCATACCATGAGAAAATGTTACAGCCACAACACCATCTTTGCAAGGTGTTGCAAATGACTGGTGACTGCTTACAAATAATTTCAGATTCAAAACAAAGTCATCTTTCTCACTAAATTATCTGTAATAATAGTTTTAAGCTGTTTATCAGCATTATATGAGTAACATTTACACACCACTTCAGCAGTGGCACGTGAAGCTGTTTGTCTGCTTTGCATCTCGTCGCATTTCATTAGCATCTCCTCAGAGCAGGGCAAAGTGAAGGCTAAGTGGGGCAGGGTGGGTGACAGAAGGGCTGATGTTGGTTCTCACTAGGCCCTCTCTCCCCCTGAAAAGCTCCTCAGTCGCCGTGAGAACCAGTGAAGCACAAAATTGTCCTCTTGACTTTCCTTTGAAAGAAAGTTGAAAAAGTCAGTCAGCCAGAAAAAAGAAGGAGGAAGAAACCAAGTTGGTTAATGAGAAAGAAGGACAGCTAGAGAGAGTTTGGGGTGCATGAATTTGGGAGTATGAAGAATTTACTTTGACTGGCTTTTATGTTATTTAGCTGATGTAAGCACAATCTTAATGTTTCTCAAAAAAAAAATCCATTGATATCTTAACTTGCAAAATAAATGATCTGTTTGTTCATTTTGGACTAAGTAATCAGAGACAATCTCAATCTTTTAGAAGGTAACAATAAAATCAGGAAGGAAATGTAATCCAGAATGTTTTTTGCAGTAACAATGTATTATAATTTGTAGAGATTTGAAGGGAAACTGATCAACTTCACCTTGAATGGTCCTGGCCATTAAACGCTGAAGTCTGTTAAATAATTTGAAGGTTCTTGGATGTGTTCACATTTCATGATTAGGTAAGCTTAACATGTGAAACAGTTAAGGCTCACTAATTTCTTTAGATATAAATTTATCCATAGTGGTATATAGCGTGATAAGACTTTTAGACAGGGAGTCAGACTGTAATCATGACTAGAAGGAGAAATAATTTTTTTTCCTCAAATTAATTGGGTGTCACCACTCATGTAATTAGTATGCATGAAGGCAGTTCAGAGTTTGGTAATGGTATGAAAGAATGGAAACACTTTCTTTCATTGGTTATTTTTTCAGTCATTGCAATAAATTGTGTCATGGATGGTACACAGCTGTCTGCTTCCACCAAACCTACCTCGACCTCCCTGGACAGGTCGCCAGTCTGTCGCAGGGCAACACAGAGACAAACACTTACAAGAGATAAAATTCCTATTTTTTCACCAGTTATATATAAAAAGGTTGTATCAAAGTAGTCCATCTCATAGGCACAAAGCACAATTTACCAATTGATTTCAATTGGTATTGGTAATTCAATCTGTTATGATTAAGATTCTCCATCATTTCAATCACACAACAAAATATTTTTTTATCTCTTTAAAATATTTTTACTTTCCTCTCATTTCTCACACCACACACATGTAGCCAGTGTAGGTCGTTTGTTAGAGAGTGATTGAGGACATTTATGTTGATGGACATCTAACACTGGTGATGTGCCTTGTCCATAGCAGGTCAATGTCATCATTGAAGTGGTTTTGAAAGTATTAGCACTTGAAACGAAATTCATGTTTCAATGTTTTGCCTGATTATGCAAATTACAAACAAAATACCTGCATTTCAATAACTCAAAACTAACTTAGTACTAAGTATTTATATATTTTTTAAAAAGCTATCAACACATACAAAATAACAACTGATTTAAAATGTTATATATGTTCTAGCAGTGGTAGCCGGATACTCGTAAGCATTGTACATCCTGTGAGATGTGTCTTGCCTCTGACATACAGATGGGCCTGAGACGGTGACTCTGGTCTGTTGCTATAGCAACATGTAGGCTTATACATGTTGGCTGCCTGCTGCCATCAAACCTGAGATCACTCATGTTCTCTCTGTGCCCTTGCAGACCTTGAATGTGGATTTGAGCGTGTGCTTTGTGTGGTGATTGCTGACTCAGAGCTTCCAAAGTGCTTTAAGCTGTCCAGTTCCCCGGAAGTAAATGTAAATACGTTGTGTTTATACACTGCTGGCTTTGTTCACTGACACAATGTGATCCGTGAGTCAAAAAAGCTGATTTTGAGAGTGCTTTCAAAAAATATCACCTGGCCAAACCCAGTGATACACAATCGGCTGTTTTGACATAACTTCTGGAACTGCTGAGGCAGGAAATTAGGGCTTGCTTTTCTGGACAACTGCATGAATTTGCATCTCTTATCTCCATTGACTGCTTATGTTTTCAAGCTTTCAATTATTATCAATCCACTGGAGCTAAATCAACATAAATAACCTTCGCATTTTTATACAAGTGATGGCTTCTGGCTGTACTTTGAGACTACTTATATCATTTTTCAGAGAATGGAAAGTGAAAGGCAGTGGTCATAGTATGCTAGTCTTCAGTTTGTTGTAGAGTGTAGAGCATTACTGTATTTTTCAGTCACACTTTTTTAACAGTTTGCCTGGTCCTGCAACTTATAGTCAGGCGCGACTTTTGTTTTAGGCCTATGGGTTGACAAATCCAGAGAATTTGTTAAAAAAGCAGATAACTCACAATGTGTCACTGGGCCAAATCAACATGGATAAGGTTCCCCTCACTTTTTACATTTTCTAAGTAAATGTGTCTTATAGTCCAGTGCTTTTTCTGTTTCTGTGTTTTAACAGTTGCACTGTTTCACCCCCACCACACCTCCTTTTTTTTTTTTTATAACATTTTAACCTTTGACTGATAAACCTATACATCATTTGGTGTGCAATAATATGGTTTAGTTTGAAGAAGAAAATTCTTCAAACAGAAGCAAACTACTGATCATAAACCGTAAATTCAAGTTTATAAAAATAGAAAAAGAAACAAATATCAAAGAAAGAAAAACAATTCACACAAATCTGCTTTTTCAGCAGTTTTTTTTTTTTTTTTTTTTTTTACCCAGTGTAAAATCAGAGTGGGCTTGACTTAAGAACAATTCGTCTATTATTAGAAGAAAGGATTTTTCCCTGGAAACACTGAAAATGTATTTTTTGTTGCTATTGATAATGAGAAGCTGGCTGCTGCTTTGAGTTGGTGAGTGGGCAACGTTATGTGCTCCCGGAAGAAGTGTGTGCGTGTGTAATAGTGGGAGTGTGTATGGTTGCCAGATTGTTTGGTGTGTGGGTGATGCTGAATAGAAAAATATTCTGAAACAGCAGCAGTTTAAAGCTATCACATCAAACATTCAGTCCTATAACCATTCCAAATCAAGACTATGTGCATGATTTTTTTTTTTCTGTAAAACATGCACAAAGACGTTTATAAACATAAATCCAAAGGTGGTTCGACTTTGTTGTAAGCTGCCTCAGTTTATTTCACACTTTCCTAAAGAATGAGTTATGAAATGTTGCGTATATCATTGCCCTTCTTTCTGGAACTACATTAGTCAAAAACAACTCTGAAGTTCAAATTGCTTATATAATGAAAAAGTCTAGCTACTCAACTGTGTCAACAAAAGCATAAACAGAAGAAACACATACAGGCACCATTATGTCAGAATTTCTGTGAAGAAGTGCTGTGATGTCCATGTTGGCTTGTCAATGCACATCTTCATTTTTATAACCTTCAGAGGCACTCGTCAGACAGACAGCTCATTTTAACAAATATACATTTGGTTGAATATGGGCTGAGATCAAACTTTGTTGTTAGAATTTCTTTTGAAGAATGTATTTCCTCTATAGATTATGCTTTTACTTCCAGTTGCTTAATACATGCATATTTTCTGTGCCCCAGCATCAGCTGTTTACTCTGAGTACTGTGGTGAGTTTTGTGTGCCTAAAGGAAAGCCATCAAATTAAGCATATAAAAGAAACCCAAAAGATTATGTTTCACTGACCTACCAGTAGTTTTAATATTTAATATTTTTCCCGATCAGAGCAAATGCTTATTGGTCTTTTATTAAAGATGTAAAATAACACTTTTTTTGTGTTTGATTTCATCTTTTGTTCCATGCTGGAAAACAAAACAATAATATTTCTTATAATTAAGATGAACAAAATCAAAAATAATTTGTTTTGGGACATTACAAATCTGATCTTGATTCCCTTTCTTTGAAGATGAGGGTTTTACATTATGACACCAAGAGGACCTTTCATACTAAAATGAGTTTATTTTAGCCTTTTTTTTTACATTTCCCCTCTCTAAGATTTAATGTTGTTAAATTAAATAACACCCTTACCATCTATGAAAGGATACTTCTAAGTCACCCAGCTAGAAACTGCCAAATACAATATTACGGTTTTAATATCTCAGTTTCATTTATCATTTCTACCCATTCATTCCATTATATATATATATATATATATATATATATATATATATATATATATATATATATATATTTTTTTTTTTTTTTTTTTATTTTTTTAAAATTTTGT